GAAAAAACCCCCCTTTTTTTTTATTTCCGGTTTGGGCTCAAAACATTGTCGTTGAGTTTATGTGGGGGTGAAAAGTAGTGTTATTTCCAGAAATATTGGCATCAAAACATGTCGTAGCATGCGAGTGAGTCGTTGTCGAGCAGGCGTATCAGTATGTAGGTGTACATATATCTATCTATCCACTCAGTTTTATATTTTTCTTTTCAGGATGGATATCTCATCCACAGAATTTCATAAAGCCATGTGTCTCCTCTGTTCACTACTCTTCAGTTTTGGCTGAACTCCCAGAGACTCATGAAATGTTAAGAAAAACTTGTAGAGATTTTGCTGAAGCAGAGTTACAGCCCATGGCAGGAAAGTTTGATAAGGAGGGTGTCTTCCCAAAGCAACAGGTATTATATAAGAAGTGATAATTAGGTATCACATTAATCATAAATGAAAGTACAGTTGACCCTTGAACAACATGGGTTTGAACTACATGGGTCCATAAAAATGATATACATAATGTAAAAATAATAATAATATCATTATTATTATTATATGGAACAAAATAGAATGACTGAGAGTGTGTAAATTTGTAGTGGAGGGAAGGCAGGGTAGGGGTTGGCCTAGGAAAGTTTGGAGGGAAGGGGTAAAGGAGATTTTCTGTGCAAGGGGTTTGAACTTTCAGCAAGCATGTGTGTGTGTGTGTGTGTTTAAATAGGAGTGAATGGAGACTAATGGTTTTTAGAACTTGCTGTTGGAGTGTGAGCAAGGTAACATTTATGAAGGGATTCAGGGAAACCAGTTAGCTGGACTTGAGTCCTGGAAATGGGAAGTACAATGCCTGCACTTCAGGATATTGGATTGGTTTAGGATATTGGAGGAACATCTAAATTGTCATATCTGAGCACTTCTGCAAAGACAGTGATTATGTATGAATGATGGTGAAAGTGTTAAATGATGATGAAATTTTTTTCTTTCTTTTGGGTCACCCTACCTTGGTGGGAAACGGCCGAGATGTTAAAAAAAAAGTAGTTTACCATTGAAA